AACCAAACATCATTAACTGTTCCCATTCAAATACTTAAAAACTATTTTTTGAGAGGCAAATATGTTGTTGACAAATACTGCAAATGTTACTGTTGGAATCTCATGCTTTCAATTTCTTATCTATTGTTTTGTCCACCGACTAACCGTCTAAAACGGCCTTATCCTATGGATAACTTTAACTGAATTGTTCCATCCCCACTAAAGTTTTCTTTAGGAGAAGACAGGTAAAAGTGAGGACAAGAGAGAAATTCAATAATCAGAGCTACTTAATTGCTAAATATCTGAATAAGTGGCAGAAGGAGACTTACAGTTTCTGTTGGTCAAAGACTATTGCTTTTTTCGACACCCTCCATAATTAACACAGTAAGCTCTCATGCTTTCAATCTCTGGTTGATTATTGCACAAAACATCTCGTATTGCAAGTATTAGTGAATGCTTTCACGACTCAAACCAACTTTTCGCTGCTCCAAGGTTTTCTTCAAAAGAAGGAACGCTCACCGTGGGGCTCGAACCCACGACCACAAGGTTAAGAGCCTTGCGCTCTACCAACTGAGCTAGACGGGCTTCTTGAAAGTTGAAACAGAAGCATTGGAATGTTGTATTCCATCTGCACAAGGAAGGAGTTTTATCGCCTCATTTATCTGGAGATGAGCTCCCACAAGGCCCTGCTATCTGCACACCTCCAAATCCTAATGGAGCAATTAACTGATGGCGCTTTTAATCATTTTTGTAGACTTTTTTTTAATTTACCAAGAGAACAGCTCATGCATCATTCTGGACCTCATGGAAAATAGGCTCATCCTTTGATTCTTCTTCGCTTAAATGCCAAACATCTGGAGGATGGCACAAGATTTTCTTTCTTGTTTTAAGGTTTTTATTAGTGGAAAAGTTTGATGCTTCAAGTAGTGAAAGCAATATAAATGTTGCACCACCCGTTATACTTGTTGAGTGGCAACCATATATCCCACGTAAACTAGATCGAACTCCATCCAATGTAGCTTGTCAATTAGGAACTATAGCTCAACATTTGCTCAAAAATGAGGTGAGTCAAGAGTTAATTTAGCTAATTAAATTCTCTCTTCAAGACCTTAACAAAAATCATGAATAACACTATCTAGAAAAATTCAATAATAACTGCACTTCAAGACCTTACAATATGTAGTTGATGTACATATTGTAAATGTCCATTCTGTTCCTTTTAAACTTGTTTCATTCAGTTTTCGATAATTTGTTCCGGTGACAAACTAGGTGTTCTAAAACAAGGAATTTTCTACATTCCGCACTTACTCGTACATGGACATACAGTGTCTAACGAAACTGAAATTATGGACATCCAAAGTCAAAAGTTCCGGGCATTAAGACTGACTTTAGAGATTGCCCTTTCATCCAGAATAGAGATAGAAAAGAGAGGAGAAAAGGAAGAAGGAAAATACTAATATGACTTGAAGATAATAAATATTGTTTGTATAGTGAGGAAAAAATTTCCTAGTGTTATAAATAGAATTGTATTTATGATGAATGTCTATATTTAGAGAGATTCTAGGGTTCATTGCTTGGTGGCTAAGTCACCCTCTCCCTATAAATGGAGGGTTATATTCCATTGTAATTCATCCAATATCAATAAGAATTCTCTCTCTCTACTTTTCTCTGCAATATTCTTCTTCTTCATTTAGTGTTTTATAACACGTTATCAACACGAGACTCTAACCAATTGAGTAGAAGCTTTGGGATTGAGCATAATGATTGTCAATTATTCCACGAACTTCCTTCATGATTAAATTCTGGATTTAAGGTAAGTATTTTACCGTATTTTTCTCTTTTATTATATACTTTAATTTTATATACAAGCAAAGACAACAAAGTTTAATTATAACTCTGATAGAGTTTGTAAGAAGTTATAACCACTCGAATTGGTAAAATTTCTCTGTCTTGCCATGATCAAATTCATGTATAATTGTGGCCAAAGAATTGAAAACCCGTCCCATTGAATTTGCTCCATTCTCATTCCCATAAGAGAATGTGATAGCAGTATGTGATAAGTCTGAAAGAAGACAATACTATCAATGTATCAATGGATGTGGACGTGGCAATAGACGAAATTATAATTGTCATCATTGTGATAATGAGAATAATAAGGATTCTCAAAATAATCCTTCACTCTGTGAAAGTAATATTTGTCATCGATTTGACATAAAATTTTATAAAGCACATATAGATGATTATGGTCCATTCATGATGTGAATGTGACAACATCTGATTTATGAATACATATTCATTATTGGAAGAATATGAACGTGCTAGTGGTAGTGAATATATCACACTCACCTCTAGAAGGATGTTTGAGATGATATAAGACAATAATATCATTATTATGGCATGAATGGTCATTGGTCACGTACCTATTGTACGCCAAAATAGTTTGGCTGTGTGATTATTAAAAGACAACAATAATGCAAGAAACATATCTTGCATATAATTTTGACCATGACCATAATGGTATAACTTTCTCCTTAAAAGAGATATTCACCATATGAATTTTGATGAATATGTGATAGTACAAAATTAATTGAAAACTCTACAAGAGCCAATTATACTATTTTGGAGAGGCACAATTGATTACCAATAAGGTATTGTGTTGTAGTAAGTCTTAAAGAAACTTATTTAGTTTCTAAAGTATCCCCGAAAGCGGTTGGTTATATTGAGACTATAAATAAAGGAAAGATTTAATATCTTTTATTACTACAACTTGTAGCGGGGTAATATGTATGTGAAAAGCTACCCGCTTTATTCTCCAGTTTGTACTACACAAACAAAAGAATGCCACAATAAAGCTAAGAGAAGTTTATTGATATAAAAACTCATATCATAATAAACTTGGAGTTTATTGATAATTGCACACGTCATGGTGTAAATCTGAAGTTTATCAATATTGATAATTTATTCAGTTGGCATAATTGGTTTACCCATATCAATTTAAGTATGATGTGCAAAAATAAAAGAGAATTCACATGGGTAAATATTAAAGAACTAGAAAGTTCTTTACGAATTCTCTTATGTTGCATGTTCTCATTAATTAATATACCAACTAAAATTGGGATTGAATCCATGAATGCTAGAAATATCAAAAGTGAATATGGACCCATTCACCGGCCATGTATACCACAAAAGATGCATCTATGAGATGGTTACATGTGCGATTATTAATAACCCGCAACATGGTGTTTGTGAGGTAACTTGCTCAATAATTTAATTCCGAGCATAATTTCCAGATTTTCTATTCAAGAAGTTCATCTTGATAAGTTGGTTTACATCACAGTTGGTTTAGCAAAATGATTTATTAAGTGCCTCTACTTAATAGCTAAACAATTACTTATGAGAACAAAGTTATCTATATCAATTTGATATACGTTATATACGAAATTATAGTATTTTCTCCCCTCACAAGTGGTTCAAGGTCAGGAACCAAATAATTTCATCTTATTATTATTATTGATGTGCGGTGTATATTTTGATTAACACCATAACGCACAAATGTGGATTCTCAAAGTTGAGGTAACAAGTTAGTTTTTCTAACATGAGGGGGAGACATGATAAACAGTTGAGAAAAAGTTACGTGGAAAGAATTATCATTTGTACATCTAGATCCTCGAATAAGATAATATGAACTTGAAGTTCATAAAAGGATAATTCATGTGCAATTTATTGCAAAGCATGCCAGACGCATTTGCTGACCCAAAGAAAGTAACTGTATTCTCACTGCAAATGCTCATATTAGAATAAATCCTAGAAGGACAAAGTCTATGGTACGCTTAAAGCATATAGACAAATCGGTTTCAAATAAAATCCTTGATAAAGAAGATGAGCAAATGATCAAAATGATCATAATAAGGAGGAAAGTGATCTAGGAGATCACATGACATAACACTTTATAAAGCCTCGTGAGAGATTCAGGTACCTGAATATATGAATGAAGAGATCTCTATGTTATGTCTTTATGAAAAATAAGGAGGTTGGAACCGAAATAAAATGTTTGCCGACGACATCTATAATAGCGCTAAACATATATGAGGATCTTTAGTCTGGAGAAACAATTCAAGTAGAATTTGGTTTCATATGAAAGAGATGTAGTTTTGGACCTGCAGTTCAAACACTTGAAAGTATAAAGTCAATGGTATGTGCAATCAGTTTTCGATATCTTATATGTCTAGCATGACATGAAAACTTGATATGCATCTAAAGTCTACTGTATGGCTTATATGACTTAACTTATATGACAATCCTTGAAGGATTTAAATCGCTTAAAGCATATACAATTCTTGGTCCTGAAGTACCATATCCTAAATGCAATTTGTGCACATATATATCTTGCTATAACTATAAGCATGATAATATGATAGCGAGAATACCTCTATGGAGATATTGAAAAGTCATTCCACTACATTATATGAAGACATTACATCTCTATCAAGAATGATGATTTCAAGGTGCAATATATTCATTCAAGTTAATATGGCTGATTTGTTTATCAAATCTCTACCAACGGTCTATTGAAGATGGTGCACAAGATTGGAATGAAAATGCTTAAGGATGTGAATTGATGCTCTCATCAGGGGGAGTTAATACGCGTTATACTCTTTTCCCTTACAAGGTTTTGTCCCAATGGGTTTTCCCTGCAAGGTTTTTAACGAGGCAACCAAAAGGCGTATTGTGTACTCTTTTTCCTTCTCTAGAATTTTTTTTCCACTGGGTTTTATTTTAGTTAAAGTTTTAACGAGGCACATTATCTGTTAAATAGATATTCAAGGGGGAGTGTTATAAATAGAATTATATTTATGGTTAATGTCTATATTTAGAAAAATTTTAGGATTCATTGCTTGGTGGCTAAGTCACCCTCTTCCTGTGAATAGAGGGTTCTATTATATTATATTGGTATTTCAATATTTCCGTTTTTACCTGAATTTATTACAACATCCAAAAAACAACAACTGTGGAGTTGATAATACGCCATTTTAGCAAAACAACAAAAGCTGTCTGCTTTTCTCACTAACTAAGAACAGTTGCTTTGCAGTAAGTGAACTTTACTCTTCCAACTTCCTACTTCCATCCTAACCCTAACCCTAACCCAAGAGAAAAACACACACACACACATATTACCACTCTTTAAAGGAATTTTCTCTCTTTAATTTCTCCAAGAACAGGGGGAAAAAAAGAAGCCATGGATTCTTTGTGTCGAAATGGAGATTAGGAAAAGGGGAGCAAACCCACATTGGTATTACTATTCCCAATGGGGAAGGGAGAAGAAGAGCAACCAGTAGGTACTTCATTGGATGCACAGAGTACACACCAAAATGCAGAGAATAGGTGCAGGGGATGCAGTAGGTTAAAGGGGTTGTTGAGTTTTAAATGTGTATTTGTATTGCTGCTTGGCATGGGAGTTTTGCTTTCTGCTATTTTCTTATGGCCATTTTTCAAGAATGGAGATCTGGGGTATCTGGATCTTGACAACAAGTATAAAGGTACAATCTTTTTCGCTTACTTACTAAAAAAGTTTAAAGGTACCATTTTTCTGTGTAATATGTTGTGTTAGACTGTAATTATGAGTTTATAATCTGGTTGTGTACCTTGTTTGAAATCTGAATTACCCTTTATGAAGGGCTAGCATAAGCTTCTGGTTTAGTTCAGGTAATAATTTTGTTTTTGTTTCTTAAATGAACTGATATGATTGATTTTTGGGTTTCTTATAGTTTAGTTTGATAAAGTGAATTTTCATTCACTGAGGTGGAATTAAGAGGAAAATTATTTGCTGCTAACTTGATATGCAGTTCAGATGGGGATCGCATTTTGGTCTTTATATTGATATATTGACTGTAGCATCAGAATAGATACCTATTGTGTCTAGGTTAGAAAAGAATGTACCGTTTTATTGGAATTGAAAAAATAAATAATGGATGCTGTCTAGCTGTTCTGAGGAATTTGGTTTCTCATGCTTTATCAGGTGAAGATTATGTAAGGATGAATTGACTTTTAATGCTTCAAAGTCCGATCGAACTCATGGCGTTTGATAAAAAAAATCTGAGTGTTTGTCTTGTCTTGTCTTGTTCTTTTCTAAATTGATGCTTCGTTTGCTTCCTTAGCTTGAGTACCTTTATTTGAGCTAAACAATCCAACTGAATCTTAAGAGGTGTCCCTTTTCAAATGGCTCCTTTTGATGGCATTCTAAAATTATTATGCATTGGCCGCAGAGAGTTGGTTTTGCCTTTCTCATTTGTTTGCTGGACATCGAGCAAAAGCTTTGGAAGTTCTAGAAAAAGACAAGTCTTATTGAAGTTTGGCCTAGTTGGTTAATGTTTTCATATGTTCTTGTTACTGGAGGAGCTTTTGGTCTATTCATAATTTTGCTTTGATAAGATGGTCTATTGATAATTTTGTAGTAGTACACTTGGAGCTCTAAATCGTGATTATCTCTTAGTAGCAACCTAATACCTCACATCTCCTGTCCATTGATTTTGTCTAGTTGATGTTATCTTCACAATTTTAATTTGATCTCCAGTAATTATCTTCATTTCTTGAGTCAATGTCTGGATTGCCTATTCACCCATTGGACATTTTCTTTTGATCAGGTAAAGGTAATTTTATTGATATCCAGCAACAATGCTGGGGAACATAGACATTTAACCATTGAACAATTAAATTATCAAACAGGTATCAAAATAAAAATGAAACTTCATCTGCTTGTAGCATTAAGATATGTGAAGCTCGTTTTATTTGCTTTAAGACTTTTGGTTTTCCTACTTATATTTGATAACAAATCTATTTCGTAGATGATTGAAATAGATCTTTTGCTCAATGCATATATTTCCGGCTTTTCATATCGATGTGCTTGTGTCTGGGTTTTCCAGGTCATGATATAGTTGCCAGTTTCATGCTTGAGAAGCCAGTTCTCTTTGTGAAGGATTATATTGTGCAACTTGCAGATGATATTTTTGATGAAATAAGTGTTTCCAATACTAAAGTACGCCCAATAATCCTTCTCTAGGTTATCTCTATTATTCTTCCTTTCCTTAGCTTAATTTTCTTTTGCCATTTCTTCCCTCTCAAACTGATTTGCTGCTTCTAACAGGTGGAGATAATATCATTAGAAAATATAGCTGGACCGTACATAACGGAGGTTGTCTTTGCAGTTGATTCTGCAGTGAAAAATATAAGGGTCTCTCTAACTGCTCTAAGTTTAGTCAGGTCGGAATTTGAAACTGTGCTTACTGGCCAATCAGCTCTGCACTTGACAGCATCTTTGTTTGGCGATCCGTTTTCCTTTGATGTGCTGAAGTTCAGAGGAGGGATTACTGTGAGCCCTAAACAGAGCGGATTCCTCATGCAGCAAGTCCAGATTCTTTTTAACTTCACCTTGAACTTCTCTATTGATGAAATTCAAGATAATTTTCATGAACTAACAAGCCAGCTCAAATCAGGCTTACATCTTTCATCATATGAGGTCTGTGACTACGATTGCTGTTAGTTGCATGAATATATATATTCTCTTTCCTCTGATATTAGTCTTCCTGCCTTTGACGATGTTTTTTTTTTATATCAAGCAAGTTCTTTGTGATATCTGGTCCTGTTTCCAGCTCTACTTTGCTCTTGCTTACAAATATAGCTTTCTTATTTTCTTGTCTTGCATGACTGTAAGACTTCTGATTTTTTATTTTCATCAAAGTTTTTCTGCTTGTTATATGTGTATAATCTCCTAATTCATGCAGACAGTTATTTGAATGAGAAATAATTATATCAAAGTAAAATGGTATATAGAGGCTCCACTATGGATAGTTTAAATTATGAAACCCCACTATCCATAGATTCTTTTCATATTTCTGCCTCAAGTTGAATGTTTTTCCATAACTATACCTGATCATGACTGTAGTGATTAGTGAAGGCTGTTCTAGGATGTATCGATGTGATAGTGCTGCCCCTTGGTAGTTACTATGCCTACTGATTGAGTAACCATTCACTTGTTTGAAAAATACTAGTCCTTGCAAAAGAATATCTAACTTATGTGGGAAGGAGTATCATTGTTTACCATTTCTTCAAAAAAAGATCTATATGACTAAGATACTGAGGGGCATTGGATATGTTTGCGTTTGAAATTTGATACTAATTCAGCAAATCTCATGAGCACAGGATATAATCGTCGCTAAAACTATAATTCTAGTTATAACCATCAATATTGCTCGGAAAATCCATATATATGCCGTTGTTTTTTCGAAAAGGCAAAAGGTTTGCGATGTCTCATTCTCTTGCACTCTGCTGCTCTCCAACAAAGACCGTTTCAAACACAGACATACTTAAACATATATTTTCTTCATATCTTATATCTACGTGACCCTTGATAGGAAGGTATGGAGGTCGAGGATTAGGGTAGTAGAGTAGGTAGTCTAGAATGTTCATAATAGTAGTATTGGCACGTAGTCTCGCTTTCCGTTGGTAGTAGGTTTTTATGACTAACCTTTGTTTTCTTTCATTGTTGATCACCTTACTATCTTGTTGTTTTTATTATGCTTTTATATGGCTTTTTGGTTCTGTCATTCTTGTCTATATTTTCATTAATGTGGTGCTTATGCTTTCCTGAGCCGAGGGTCTATTGGAAACAGCCTCTCTAACCTCACAAGGTAGGGTAAGGTCTGCGTACACACTACCCTCCCCAGACCCCACCGGTGTGGGATAATACTGGGACCTGGGTATGTTATTGTTGTTGTATCTTATATCTACATGCACTAAATGCAATATCCCCTTGATCAAGGTAGAGGATTTCTTGGTTTCATTAAGCACTGGTTGGCTGCTTTTTTATTTTTGTTACGTGTTTCTTACTTGAAAAACATTCATCTTTGGTGGTTTATTAGTACTTAATAAAGAGCACTCATCTTTTGTGTTAGCATGCTGATTTCTCTTTGTTCTCCCTCTTTACAATGCAGAACTTGTATATCAGCTTGACAAATACAAGAGGTTCAACGGTGGATCCTCCCACTATTGTTCAGTGCAAAGTTCTTTTAGCAGTTGGGATAAATTCCACCAGGTCAAGGTTGAAGCAGTTGTCCCAGACCATCGGTTCTCATTCCGACAACCTTGGCCTCAATAACACCGTATTTGGAAGGGTTAAACAAGTTAGCCTGTCTTCTTTTCTACCGCATTCTCGCGGTGGTGATAGTGGTAGCCCTTCACCTTCTCCAGCTCCTCTACCTCACCATCACCATCACCACCACCACAATCGAGATTCAAATCTCGCTCCTGCAACATCACCTGCTCCAAGAGTTGAGAAAGGTGGATCTATTAGCAGGAAAGTTTCACCTGTACCCGTACCTGCACCAGCATCTGATACAGTACTTGCACCTGCCCCTACAAAGCCCAAGAGTCATGAGGCCCAGCCTCCTTGTCATTTTGGGAGATATCCAAGAAAGGCGAAGAGTCGCCCGCATATGGTTCCTGCTCGAGCACCAGTCCGTGCACCTCATATTACTCCATCGCCACACCAGCAAATACATGCTCCAACTCCGATGCCACATGGACTCGCTGCATCAAGTCCATTGCCCAATGTAGTATATGCTCATGTTCAGCCTCCGCCAAAGAGTAATTCTGTTGCAGAGCCTCCTGACAGATTTACTTCAGCTTCACCCCTGCCATCTTCATGTGAGTACTTCTTTCTTGAGAACCTAGTCTACTTTTCAAACCGGGAATCCGATAAACTTGCATTTCAGTTTATCTCTTCAACTTTTCTTCCGGTCCTGCATGAGAATGGGGGTACCTAAAGCAAGTGAATTTCTTCTACTCTGATTATAGATTGTTCATTCAATTTGTTTTTTGAAGATATTAGCTTTAATCTGCTGGTGAATATTTCCACAAGCAGAATCTTTTGTATTCCTCACCATATTTGTAGTAATTCTTTTCTTGATGCTAAATTGATGCAATGATATATACATTTGCAGCTTCCAAAGGGATTCATTCTTCAAAATTCTGGACTCTCCTGCTGTTTTTACTTGTACTACATCCATAGCAGCTGGAGGAGGACAACTATTTTTTGTCACAACAAAATTTGCCTCTAAAAACGAGTTCACGTCATTCCATCCAGGCAAAGAGACAAACTTCAGGAGTTTGCAGAGAGAGCAATGCCAAAAGGGCATCCTTCATGCTTGGATGAACATATGTTGTTCTTATACTTTTGTAAATATTTCTATGAAGATTCAGCGATGAGATGCATTTTCAGGTCTAAGTCATAGCGATGACAGGCCTGCGATGACGTGCATTACCACTGTTATGTATCATCCCTCTTGCATAAACATACGGAGGGAAAATCACAGCCAACAAATGTATAATAGTCCTTTTTGCTCCTATTATCTCCCAAATCTATCATCTATGATCCTTAGTTCTAGTGAATGACAGTTTGTCCTTACTATGTCATTTGCAGACTCTACTTCTTGGTTGTACTTGTGAAAAATATGGTCTTTCAGGTATCATTATAAGATGGTTCACCACAAAGATATGTTTATCACTTTATTTATATGCATCAGTGGTATTGGGTGATAGATCCAATTTCCGAATCATAAAATATACTACTACAACAACAACAATAAACCCAATATAATCCCACGAGTGGGGTCTGGGGAGGGTAGTGTGTAGAGACCTTACCCCTACCTTGAGGGTAGAGAGGCTGTTTCCGATAGACCTCCGGCTCACGGAAAGAAAAAAGAAAGCAGTAACAACCAGCAATATCAACAACAAGATAATAAGAAAACAAGCAGTAACAACCCCAAGATAATAATAAAAAATTATCCGTAAAATATGTTGTGACTTAATTCTGCGCTTATGTATTAGATTCATACCCATAGTTGAATCCATATAACATAGCCAAAAATACTTGCTTGTATTTGGCATAAAATTTATTTGAAACTTTCCATCATTCAATACAATTTACAGTATCAAAAACATAATATTAAACATAGAATTCTCTAGTCTTTCTTTTTCTTTATATTTTAAACAAATGAATACAAACAGCAATCACGCCTCACTCCCAAACTATTCGGAGGCAGCATATTTTTGAGCAATAAAAATGTAAAAAGAGAGAAAAACTCCTCCAGAGGAGTAGAAAACAACAAGAAGACTAATATGGAAAGGATGGCAAATTTGCACATCTCTTTGCCATTCATGCTAAGATCTAACTACATTCTACCATTGAGTACTTTGGCTGGTAATTTACACTTGGTTGAAATTACACAGGTGGTTAACTTCTCATAAACCAGAATTCTCTTCAGAATTCACAAGAAGATCCCAATCTTTGCTTAGACAAACACATGCAGTTTTTGCCCTCAAAAGCCTCAGGCAAAAGCTTCTCAAAAACCTCTAAGAATAAGCTCCATTGTTCACTACTCATTTCACCAAAAGAAATTCCTTCACCATTATCATTCTTGTAATTTTTTGTACCAAAGCTCATGCTCCTCAACAGGACACCAGCTTTATGATCTTCCTCATCGTCGATATCATCTTCCTTAGCACCATCATCCTCTATTAAGGTATCTGAATTGAGACAAGTGTTGTTTAGGAAATCACATTCTTCTTCATAATCAAACATCGATGAATTAACCAATCTACCCATAGACCTAACAGACGAAAACCTTGGAATTTTTGGTGGCTTAACTTTTAAAGGGGATCCCTGCAAGATTTCATCATCAGTCTCCTCATCTTCTTGATTTGAGTTATCACCATCTTCATCGTCGAATTGAAAAACTCCATCATTTTTCTCTTTCTCTTCACCGACACTTATATTATCCTCTTTTATTTTACTCTCCATGTTAACCTTGGCGTTGAAACATATCTTTTCTAATGCACTCCATTCTTCCTGTCCTCCATAACATTTCCGAGTCATCATTTCTCCGATTTGAGCTAGACAAAGCCCTGAAGTCACAGCTTGTTTCAAGAGAATAGTGCACACCACGAGCACCCGAATGGATGATTCACTAATAGAAGGAAGTTCACTTCTTAGTAAATCTGCATCCTTAAAAGGATCAAGACCACATATATACTCCATTTCAGACTCCGAAAATGGTATAGAGGCTTGAGGCCAATGCAGCCACTCAAAGTATGGATCATCAAGTGATTCAGGCAAGCAAAGTCCATGATCTATGGGTATAAGTTCAGCAGAACCAACTGCATAGCTTTCTTTCCCTTGCTTCACCAGAATATTTCCAGCATGCCTGTCAAGATTGAGAAGTCGTATATCCAAAATCCCAATACGATGAATTGAAGCGACTGAAAAGCCTGAAGCACCCAAGTCTCCTGCATCACAATGATGTTCCATAAATCGTTGAAGTGAGGCAATTTTATAAGTTGAACCAGAAACAGATTGCGAATCGTTTATATTGAATGTAACATGAGAAATCTTGACTAATGTTGTTGGAGGAACACCAGCAAATCCATCATGGTCAAGAAGATAGGCAGCCGATTCACGAATACCAGTTTCACCAATCTTGATGGAGCGTTTCATGCCCGGTTGGCCTAGCATCCGACCTGCAAATCCTTTTGGATTATTCAAAGCTAGAGGTTCCTCATCAGCAGGTTTTGCCACTGCTATTGCATTACCATTTGTAGCACGAAAAAGGTAAGCACCACCTAGACCACTTGATAATAACTCAGGTTTGATTCCAGAAGCCATAGCTATGGCAACCTCAACAACTAAAGCATGCACTTTAGGAGCTCGACGGCCACCAATGATTTCAATTCTTGGATTATTGTCAATATCTTCATCTGATCTCGTGGAGAGGGATAAACACGGTGTGGAAACGCTTTTGTGGATATTGGGGAATTCAAAGGCAACATGATGTAGTGAATGTGTAAGGTTTGTTTGGCTTGATTCAAGAATGTTGTAATCGAGCTGAGAGAACGATGGAAGCTTACATCTTGGAGGTCGAACAAATTGCTTGAACCCGTGATTTTGGGGATTGATAGCTACAGCCATCTTGGAGAATCTCATTCAAGTAAAAACAACAACAGAAGTGCATGCTAAGGGAGCTTCTTTAATTAGTGAATCCTAGAGAGTTAGTCTTCCTTGTTGAGAACATCCTTCACATTGTCTGAAAATTCAAAATGGTGAACAAAATCATTATGCATTTACATCTCGCAATAAAAGTAAACAACTACAACAAACCCGGTATAGTCCCACAAATGGGGTCTGGGGAGGGTAGATAGTACGCAGACCTTACCCCTACAGTCAGGGGCGAAGCTACATGTTTTGAAGGGTGGTCAACTGACCACCCTTCGTCGGAAAATTACACTGCGTATATAGGTAAAATATTAGATTTTAGAGGTATATAACATATATTGAACACTCTTTGTCGGAGAATTTTTTTCACATCTTTCAAGTTTGAACACCCTTGAGTAAATTCCTGAGTTCGCCACTGCCTACAGTGAATGTAGAGAGGATGTTTCCGGTAGACCCTCGGCACGAGGAAAAATGAAAAAAGAGCGGTGGCAACAAGCAAAAACGAGAACAAAATAAAAGAAAACAAGGCAAAAGGAACAACATGAAGATAATCTACAATATTAGAAAACAAGACTGCCACTAATAACACTGGAAATATCTGGAAACCAGCACAACTACCTATTAACCTACGACCTTAATCCTCCACCTCAACACCTTCCTATTAAGGGTCATATCCTAGGTTAGCTGATGCATCGTATAAAGCAAATCCAGAAACAATTACAATAGAAATCCCAATATACTTGACCCCAACCTTGAAAAGGGCTTGCCTATACCCAACAAATGCAACATTTTCAGGTTTCATCATCGCAAAAGAACTTTCTTTCTGAAATTGACCAAGAGGTGATCTCACAATACTTAACTATTGAATTCTTGAAAGAAAATGATAAGGAATGATTTGGAAAATATAAAGACTTACCTAAAATTTGCGTTTTGAAGGCTGCAAAAATCAAATAACCACATTGCTATATCTGAACCCTGTGAAATTTCCCATGAATTATATGCTGGAATGAACAAATGTACATACAAATAATAGGACATGGTTGAGAAATTGAAATGTACAGAATTTCACATACCATCCTGTTGGTTCCCTCGCTCCTCCGCTTAATAGTCGCCACAATTGACTACAAAAAATTATTAGAAGAATGTTACCATCAACTTTGATCAAAATCCCTTAAATTCTACCATTTTCCTCATCCTATTTGCTCTTTCTATCCCAACAAGAATCACAGGTTTGAAGCTTGAGGGTCTATGTATCTAATTTTTGGTGCGAATTCCACATCAATTTCCCAAAAGATTTAGGATAAAATCTATATATTTAGAAACTACAGAAAAATGTGAAAAATCATACTCAATGAAAATGTACTAATCTTACTCTTAAATATCAATCATATATCCCCACTACAAATACTCCCATCTAGTCCACCCCCATTCGGGAAGCGCTCCCTAACAAAGGATTTTTCCATATCCAGGGCCCGAACCCAAGACCTCTGGTTAAGGGAAGAGCAACCCCTCCATTGCACCACATACGACAATGATATAGCAACAAATCTCAATCTTTGCATAAAAATAAAGAAGATTTACAATCTAAACAGATTTCTAACAGATTCTAAAGAAAAACAACAAAAACTTATAATTCCCTTAAAAATGAAATGAATAATGAAAATAATTACCCTGAATACTGGTGAGGCATTCAGGGAGACGAACAGCAACGGCTGAGCGTGAGATAGACAGAGAGAAAATTAAAATTCCTTTCACTTATAAATTCTTGAGAGACAAAAGGCCCCCCTTCGTCTCTGTCCTTTTTTTTTTTGGTTTTTTTTTGTTTGTTTTTTTTCCTTGTATGTCCCCAGTCTCTGGGGAGTTATCTTTCTTTTAGCAAAAGAATTCTCTCTCTTTTGAAAAACTGGTAAAACAGTTACAATGACTTCCTCTCGTTCCCGCTCTTCTCGCTAAACCATTTTCCATAAATTATGTGAAGGAATTTTTACCCAAATCGGTTAATTCGTTCGTGATAAATTGAAGTAATGTATTAAAATAGTTAAGAATTGATAGTATTTACAAAAACACAGATTATACACTTATAACATTAGCATATTTATTCATTATGTTAATCTCCCTCCACCTTAGCCTAATTGTAAAGATATAGGAGTATATCGATTTGAAATAGAATTATTTAGGCCCCGTTTATCCGTAACTTGTAAAAAAAAATGTGTTTGTCCATGAAATTTTGCAAGTTCTTAAAAAAAATTTGACAATGAGTTTTTCAGGTGAAATGCATGTCCAAACATAATTTCAAATTTCAAATATCATTTTTAACTTAACTCCAAGTACTACTTTTTTCCAAAAATTACAATTTTTAGGTCCAAACGCCTACTTATAGTATTTGCTTAGTGAAAATAAAAAGTCTTTGAAAAGCTCTAAATAACGTTTCTTGAATTTCCAATTACTTTACTTTAAATGGAGTATAATATATAGTGATGAATGGTCTGTTAATACTATTCGAGTTATGCATAAACCATTTGATGATACTAAAAGCTACAGCATCAAAGAGAAAGTCCGTATATGGTTAAATAAGTTTGGAGGACCACGTAAATTTTTCACTAAAGGTAGTGCTATAGGTCGCCTCTCCAATCAGTGACGAGATTTGGTGGCGACACCTTTTAGTCGCCACTAAAGGTAATACTAAAGCTGCTATGGCCGCATCTCATTAATCAGTGACGAGCTTTGGTGGCGACCCTTTAGTCGCCTCTAAAAGTAACAGTAAAGGTAGTGCTATAGGGCGCCTCTCCAACCAGCGACTCATCAATCAGTGACAAGTTTTGGTGGCGACCTTTTAGTCGCTGATGTTGGGCATATTTCTATATGTTTTAATATCTCTTTACCCATGTTTTAACAGCTTTTTGGTGCTATTTGGTGTTTAAAATGCCTAACATGTGTTAATTATTGGTTGTACGACTAATTAAATTGTGTGTGATGATTTATGATGGTTGGGGTGCAAAAATATGAAGAAAAAACTCTCCAACTATATGAGAAGAGTGTGGATGCGTCGCATCCAACCTTGAAAAGAAGGCTATTTTGTTCATCCGTAGCAGTGAAGTTGGGAGAAGGCATCCACCTTAGCATCCACACATGGGCGCAACAAGGATGAGGGAATAGAGGATGGACGCGAAGCATCCACCCCAGTATCCGATGCTGAGAAGTTCAAGCTGAGGCAGACGTGAAGCTTCCAACTTAGGATCAATCCCTGAAGATGACTCGGAAAAGAAAAAGGAAAACTTTGGCCGGTGACTTTTGTACGCAATATATAAGCAAAAAACGCCTCTTTTAGGCCATCTAACACACTGGAAAGCGGAGAAAAGCCATCATACAGTTTGGAAACTACGGAGTTCATTATGAGTTCTTACTTTTCCCTTCTTTTATTGATTTTTATGTATTTTTGGGAATTAATTAAGATTGCTACCATGACTACGCATGGCTAAACTCGTTTATTCTGGGGTTATGATTTTACATGAATGTTGATATTCGAATATTGATTTGACGAGTTAATTTATCATATTGGGCTATTTATTCATATCCTGAGTTTAATTATTTTACTACCTAGCTAACAGTGAAATACTATATATGAATCTTGAGTTGAACTTGAAAGAGGTAATTCTTGATTGCAATAGGATTGAATAGAACACGATCTTGAACCTAGTCATTGGGGAATTGATTTGCAAATACGGATAGAAAATATGCCTAGTTGTCGTGCTTAGCCAATTGTGCAAGAAATCGTGAATGCCTTCTTTTTATCTCTGATCTCATAGAAATATAAGGTTTAGAATAAATTGAATAGGTGAGTAGAAGTTGTCAAATTTCGACGAGTATTATTGTCACGACCCCGATTCGCCCTCCATGAACCATCGTGACGGCACCTAGTCTCTACGACTAGGTAAGCCTAAAATGCGGAAAATAAACCAAATTTGCGGAAGAAAAACAAGTTAAAACAGAGACTAGAGTAAATAAACAACGTTTCAGAGTGCCGCCCGGCATACACAACGTTAATCTCTCAAAACCAATACATGTTCCCAAAACCCGAAAACCCATGAATCACAAGCTACGAATATAGTAAAATGCTTTAACTCTGGAAAGTCTACATCAACAGTAAAGATAGAAGGACTAATCACTGTAAGAGAGAATGGAGAGAGACTCCTCGGTCTGCGGACGCGGCAGATATACCTCGAAGTCTCTGTAGAATCGCCTCGCCTCAAGGATGGTAAGTCTGAGTAGAGGTACCTGAATCTGCACATGAAAAACATGCGCAGGAAGGGCATGAGTACACCACAACGGTACTCACTAAGTGCCAAGCCTAAACTCGGTTGGGTAGTGACGAGGAAGGTCAGGGCCCTACTGAGATCAAATAATAATATAAAGCTCGACAGTACAGGTAAGAGCAGTATAAATAAGTGCAACAGTAAAAATATCACAGGATATAGGACAACTACAACTGATACATGTAACGACCCGACCGGTCGTTTTTGGAATTTACGCCCCGATCCCCTATTAACTGCTTTCCCCAAGTTCATTTCTGCTATTTTGATTTGCCGGGAGGTACGGTTTTGAGTTTCGGAGAGTTTTAGGACACTTGGTCCCTAAATGAGAGCTTAAGTGTTGGAAAATCGATCGTAGTCGGAGCAGTGTGAAGACGGCCTCAGAATGGAAATTTGATGGTTCCGTTAGGTTTGTTAGGTGATTTCGGGGTTGGGAGCATGTTCGAAATGTGTTTTGGAGATCCGTAGCTAATTTAGGCTTAAAATGCCGAAGTTTGAATTTTTGAAGTTTCCGGTCCAATAGTGAGATTTTGATCCGAGGGTCAGAACAGAAATTCGGAAGTTGCAGTAGCTCCGTCATGTCATTTGGGATGTGTGTGCAAAATTTCAGGTCATTCAGACAAGGTTTGGTTAGGTTTTTGATCGAAATCGTATTTTGAGGAAAATTTGAGTTCTTAGGCTCAAATCCTTGATTAATTCGAGTTTCCGACGTTGTTTTAGGTGATTTAAGGATTGATACAAGTTTGAATGATGTTATGGGATATGTCCGTAGGTTTGGTTGAGGTCCCGGGGGTCTCGGGTGTGTTTCGGATGCTCAACGGAGCATTTTAAGTTGTTAAAAATTGCAGATTTTTGCTTCAGGTCTGTTGCAGACCTATCCTTCTTCGTATTCGCGTTAATGCCCCCGCGTTCGCGAAGCTTTACCTTTTTTTTTTTCCCTTTGCGTTCGCATCCCAGCCCTCGTGTTCGCGTAGCATTATTTGGCGCAGAGGGCTGTGGCTATTTTTCCTCATCGCGTTCGCATGCCTTCAGTCGCGTTCGCATAGCTTTGCAATGTTCGCCCTTCGCGTTCACGTCTCCTACTTCGCGTTCACGAAGAGCAATTTCTGGGCGAAAATAATTTCTCTTTCGCGTTCGCGATAAAGCTTCCGCGTTTGCGAAGCATAACTTGTCACGACCCAAACCCCGCTCCGGTCGTGATGGCGCCTCTCGTGAAGACAAGGCCAGCCAGACCATTTCAGAACACCACTTTTAAGCAGTTAATCAGTCAAATAACAGTTCGAATATGATTTAATGATATTAATTAACGTAATTACAACCCAACACAGCCCGACCGGGGTGTCACAAGTCACGAGCATCTATAAGAATAAAATTCCCACTTTACGGTCTAGAAATACACTGAACAAGAATAATGAATAACATAGAAAGACAGTGGTACTGCGAACGCTGGCAGTCACCTCGCTAAAACCTCTACAACTCTGCCTCCACGCAGCCAATACCCGCTACCGGGTGAATAAATACCTGCAACTGCACGCGAGGTGCAGGGAGTAAAGTGAGTACTCCAACTCAGTGAGTAATAAAGGTAAATAATAACTGAGCAGCAAGAAATCATGTAAGCAACCAACATGCTATATAGAAACCGGGTACAATTTTCTGAGAAAACAGGGTAATCTGTGAAATCGTTAGAAATACCATGGCTCAGTTTAAATCTCTTTTGAAAATGATCTTTTCAATAATTACCAAAACGATTTCAAAACAGTTAGCTGTGATAAGCACAGAAAAGTCCGCCCCTCGGGCACAAATACCACAGTATAACAGGTAAAAGGCAAATAAATATGCAAGATGAGCACATAAAAGTCCGCCCCTCGGGCAATCCCTCAAAAACAATACCACCCCCTCGGGCTCACTCTCAACAACACTCTCAGAACAGTATCACATAGTAGCCGCTGCGGCGTGCAGCCCGATCCACATATCGCTGCGGCGTGCAGCCCGATCCATAGCTCGTTGCGGCGTGCAGCCCGATCCATATGGGTACCCGCGCTCACTGTGGGGGTGCAGACTCCGGAGGGGCTCCTACAGCCCAAGCGCTATATCACTACGGCGTGCAGTCCGATCCAATATATACATACTGCTGCGGCGTGCAGCCCGATCCATATAATATACTGCTGCCGCGTGCAGCCCGATCCATATATAATCCTCACATCCAGGCCCTCGGCCTCACCTCACTCAGTGTATCCTCACATCTGGCCCTCGGCCACACTCAGTCAGAGTATCATCACATGCCCCTCGGGCATTGGTAAAACATTAGTCCTCAGCCCAAATTATCATTTTAAAATATCATTTAAGACTAATCTGAGCAAAAGTGGCTGAGTTGTAAAATAGTAGAGAAACAATATGAATGAGTTCAAGTAATAAGTCAAAACAGTGAGGAAACAGTGAAAATAATCCCCAAAGGGTTCAAATAATTGGCACGAAGCCCAAATATGGCAATCAGCCCAAATCATGATAATAACAAATATGTTCCAGTCAAATACG